TTTTTATATTTTATTTTGTAGGAATTTGCGTTCCGAATAGTCGCCAGAAATGCCCAGAAACTGGCCGGAAAAGTCCCCGGAGAATTCTCGGTTGATCGCCTCGACAAAAGTTCCGAGACCTCATTCCCAGCACCCACGCACACCTCGCGCCTTCCCGCGTCCATCCACAGCCCGCGCTCGCGGAAAATCTTGCCTGCCCGCGCCTGCGAAATGCATTTCGCCTGCCTCGCAGTTCAGCCAGCGCCGCGCCTAGTGCCGCCTACCATCCGCGCCCGCGAGCCCGGTTCCGCCTAGTTTGTGAGTTTAAGTTGTGCCCGCGAGTTTTCACCTGCCAGCCCGCAAAAATGTTCGCCTGGCTCGCGCGTTCGCTCTCCAGCGCGCCAACACTCGCGAGCACCTGCCGGCCCGTGAAATTCTTCGCCTGGCTCGCGAGTGCGCCTTATAGCTCATGATTCCTGCCCACCCAGCCTAGCCATCTCGCGCCCGCGAATGTCAGTTCGCCTGTCTTGCGATTCCACGCCTCCTGCACCTATGCACACGAAAACACTTGAGAAATCCCCTTAGCTCGCAAGTTATAATCATTAAACGTGTGTGTTTTAGTGTGTGTTGGTGGTGTAGATTTAAATAGACTTGTTGCTTTGTATTTTTGGAACAATTCCTCATTTGCTAAAATTTTCTTTTTAGTTTCTTTCTCTCTCTAAGGGCTCCAAGACCCTATTTTTATTATAATATTTCTCCATCAAGATTACGACTTTCCAGCTTATTTCTTTTCGTGGATGCACTAGAGACTTTGAGACTTCGTTTAACGTCTAATCAAAGACTTAGTTGAAGGTCCAAGATCTCGTGAGTTTTTCTTGCCTTAATTTGTTGGATTTTTCTAGGGTAAAGGTAGGGGTTTTCATGAGTAGAATATGTATTCATCCTCGTAGGCTATGGATTATGTGATTTTGTTGTTGTTGCGTGAGCGAGAATTAATTGAGAGCTCGATTAATTGATTCACGAGTGATGATTGCTTAATTCCATGTTTCCAAATGAGTGTCTTCTTTCCATCTCGGGCCTTAGAGCACCTTGTTATTTTTCTCTCTATTTTCTTTTTTCTTGCGAATTGAGGTCTTGCTTGCAATAAAGATTGAATCTTGCTTCTGATTTCGTTTAAAGTTGCGTCATTTAACTTAATCTAACCACCAAATCATGCAAGTAGAATGTTTACGATCTTCATTTTCCTTTTTGTGTTAGTCGATCATTGTCCGAATTTATGTTCGAACAACCTTCCTCGAGAGACACGACCCGAGGTTGGGATTTATCCCGTACTCAGTTAAAAACTACAAACATGATTTGAAGAGTCAAGCCTCCTATCACATATTAGACCCTTAAATGAGGACAAATCTCTTTATTATAATAAAGAGAGTTAGAGAGGTCACAACAACAACAAAACTATGTACCAAGTGTTGGTGTTGGCTTCGACTACACGAGCGTGTGCTTACGCTCGCCCACCCGCCCATCGGTTGGCTTAGCTCGGCTCTAGCTCGGGCACGAGCTTGAGCCTTGGTTTTGGATCTTTGACATTGGTTCTTGGTACTTGACAACTGGACTGTAGCTAGATGGGACATGGATGGTCGGGGCCCGGTGCTGGGCTTAGGCTAACCACTATAATCTTCGTGCTGCAAATTTATTTGCTAAGTTGTGGTCAAACATTAAAATTCAACCAGAGTTGGATATGAACTTAGACTTAGACCCAACCTGTGTGACCTTCACCAGGGAGAAAAGTGCATAAGTCTAGCTATATTGTGTTTTGTGTTTATGTTTTGTGTGTTGTAAGCTTTTTTGTTTGTATTTTTCTTCTTCATGGGAGCGTTTATTCTCCCGTGTGGGAGTTCTAATTCTCCAGTGTTGGAGTTCGGTCGTTTTTGTGTTAGTTGTTTGGGTACGTTTTCTAGATTTGTTCTAGTGCAGTTTCTTGACGATCTTCGGATCTGTCCTCTCATTAGTTTCAGCTCTTTAGTTGCTTTATTCAGTTGTTGG